GCACTACTGCAGAGGACGCCAGGAGTCAACCAGGTACCTGGGCAGAGTGACATGCTCAGCTTGGGAAGGAGAGAAGGAGACCCGAGGTGGGGGTTTGCAAGTGGAAGCAGCTGATTGCTATCACTGTTGCTGTCTTGTTTCTGCGATTCCACCAAGTGACCACAGGAAGCAACACTAAATTTAAGACCATGACATTTACCCACTGTGAGGTAAGAATCGGACACAAAGAAAAACAATATTCAAGATCACAGAGTGCTCACTGGTCTATAAACTCTACAGACCTGTTTCCCATGAGGTCATTTTTTATCTGGGATTTTTCTTTGATAATGAATGGAGAGGAACAAGTTTTACTGATGAAAATAACAATCAGGTGGATATGTAAAAAAAAAGAGAGAGAGAGAGAGAGAGAGACCCACTGAAGTACTATAAAATATTGTCCTAATAATATGTCATCCTGATAATGAATGGCAAAGGAACTTTTGTAAGTTTTCGAGATTTACAAGAACTGTTTGTCCCTGAGTTCCTCTTGAATATTTATCATAATGGAACAGCGGTTGGAGCAGAAAGTTTTTGGAACAGGCTTAACACAATTCACATGGGGGAAATAAAAAAAAAAAAACATAAGGCAAAACTAATTCTTGCAATAAAGGTGAATCAAATAGCATAATTTTGTTGCATGGCTTAAAAGAAGCAATCCTACTGTTATCAGTAGAAGCGCAACTTCATTGCTGCTTTTAGCAGGAATGCAATCTAAATGCATACGATTATTTTAGAATTCATAACAAAATGCTTTTGAAAATAAAGAAAACAGGACGCACATTGCACCTCAGTGGATTAAGCAACTGCTTGAGACTCCCACGCTCCTATTAGAGTACTGATTCAAGTCCTAGCTGCCCCACTTCTGGTCCAGCTTCCTGCCAATGCACGGTGGGAAGCAGCAGGTGATGGCTTAAGTAACCCACAAAGAGACTTGGTGGAGAGCTGGGTTCCTGGCTTCGAATGAGTTTTCATCTGTCTGTTGTGCCTTTTCAGGTATTTCAGACAATGAACTACCAGATACCTCATTCATTCTCTCTTTCTCTCTCTCTCTCTCTCCCCTTTTCAATTATATAAAATAAATTAATAAATATGTTTAAATGAGAATAAGGAAATGGTATTAGAATCCAGGCTAGCGTGAGTCACCCACTAGCATGACAACATCAGTAGAGCTGGAAAATGGACATAAGGCAGGGACTGGCCAGGAGTTGTTCTTTCACATACAGTGTTGTTGCGCTATTCCCTTCAAGAGTTAAAACTGAAAGTTACAACTCCACTTGGACCCATCAGAGTGCTGGGTTCCTGTGTCCTGTCTCCACTCCTCCCTGTCAATACACATGGAGGCAGCTGATGGATTGAGCAGCTAAGCCCCAGCCACTAAAGGGAAATGACTGATTCCCCTGCTCCTGGCATCAGCCTGGCCCAGCCCTAGCTACTGCTGAGGGTGAACTAGCTACTGCAGCTGTTGCAGGAGTAATGGCTGTCTCTCCTTCTCTATATATATATCTGATCTTCCAATAACAATAAGTAAATCTAAAAAAGTCTAAAAAAGTGATGACAGCACTGAGCCCATAACAGACCCAAATGAGTTCAAACCTCCACTGTAGTTCTGCCAAAAGTCAGGTGTGGGAAAGGCCCTAGCCCTTGTGGCAGCCTCCCCAGGAAACACCGGGACCAGCTTGGGCAGGAGTGGTCCAAGTGGCCTGCCGTGGCAGTCAGCGCCAGAAGTGAGTCCCTGCCACTGCATCAGGCTTCCACGTTTGCCAAGCCCAGAGTGACGGGGGCTCCAGGCAGCAAGGGCGGCAAGCAGCTGACTTGGCAGCGATCTGATCCCAACGAGTCGCAATGAGAATTCGTAGCTGCAGTCTACGGCCCTACAGAGGGGCGACTGATCTGCCAGTGCAGGTTTGCAATTCGAAGTCCCACAGGTAAGCCCCGGAAACGACTCATTCATGAATCCATAAAAACATCACGTGGTTCAAGTGTTAGCTAAAGTATGGAAATGAACTTGGTCAGCCAAGCGGAGTGCCCAGTCAGCTTTCAGCTCTTCACAGCACATCCACATCAGGTTTCAAGCAGCCAAGTCATCAACGAACAAGATGTAACTCTTTGGGGAAGCAGCAGCTCCAGGAAGACATTGAGCCCAGCATTCTTCCTCGGAGCACAGATTCAAGGACAAAGTTTCCCCCTAGGGATTAGTCACCTTTTTCTTCCTTTTTCTATTTTTTTAATAGGTTAAGTGGAGATGCTGGTGAGAAGCTGTGATCTTGAATAGAACATTTCCTTGTGGTAAGGCAGGTTTGTGGAAGTGACCTGGGACTCCTTGTCCTGACATGCGTGATTCACAGCCCACAACTAACAAAATGAAAAGGGCATGAGAGCCCCCTGGTGGACAGTGTGATGTGTGTGGGTTAAAAGTGCTATTTCACATACTCTTCTAACTCGATAAAAATAAATTATGCTACGAAACACAGTAACGTAAAAGAGGAAAACCACATATGCAGAATGCAAGGTTCTCAGGTTGGTATGTCATTACAATCTTATCTTTCCCGATTAGACATTTATGTGTGTGTGTGTTACCTACAGAAATATTTGAAGAACTATCCCACCTACATTTAATAAAATCATTGTTGGAAAGTTAAATAGATCTTTTTTTAAAAGAAAACAAACTGGTCATTTGAAAAATTAGTGAAAGCTATCAGTCACTACATTAGCACTGGTTTTATTGATGCTGTTTACTGAACCAGGTATCTCTCTCCAAATTGTAGCATCCGTCCACTCTGGAGCAATGGTCTACCACGCAGGGAGTGGAAGCCTTTTTCTCTTTGATCTGAGGATTTGAATCGTATTGTTCAAGGAGCCTCTGCGTGTGTCTTTGTTTAAGCGTACCCACAGACAGCTGATTTCTTACTGCTCAATGGGCCACATTTGATCTTCGGATGCGGTCTGTGAACCACAAGATCACTCGCTGTGTTTTCAAACATGAAGACATGAACCTCAAAATTGCTATTTCATGCTTGGCTAACTCTTCAGTTGACTGCCTAGTCTGCTTAAGCCTCAGTTCCAACAAGTCTATGGACACATGAATTCAGAAACCCTTGTAAGAAAGAAGCTAAGTTTCCTAATAAGAATATTTAAGCTAAAGGTTACTTTCACACCTTGGAAATATTTTTAGATAACATCTATTATTACAAAATGTGTCTGCAATAAATGTGATCTGTCTTAAAAAAAAAAGAAAGAAAATGTTCTTTAGTAGGGCAGCTTGTTTGTCATTGTTCTATCACAATGCTCCTCTCTTCACAGGCTGCATGGAGATCTGAGAGTAATTTTTGGAGATCCTGCACAGGTTGAGATGGTTGCCCAGCACCATGGGTCTGTGAGCTTGAGTTTCAGTCTAGTTCAAGCTAAGTGGGTTGCTTCACCAAATTCTCTCTAATCCAAGCTCCTGCACAGGCTTCCGTGGGTCACAGTGGGACTGTGCATTGCAAGATGATATTGTAAAACACAGTATGTTTGGATGGCAAAGGGAACTTGGTGAGCACACAGAGATTATGTTAAACCAGATACACAGATGTGCTCTATGAATTTAAGATCAAATGTTAATAACTGCACTGAAGAATGCTCTCATCTCTCACGCTTTCTTTTGAAGTCAGATGGATCCTCAGAAACAATAATACAAAATCACACCACGTGATCATGAGGATGCCATCATCGTGGCAGTGAGGAACTATCCCTGAGGCACTGAGGTTTGTTCTTACCAGCTTCAGCCTGGCACATCACTGGCTGTTATAACCAGTTGGGAAGCAAATAAGCAGATGGAAGATGTCTTGCTCTCTGTCTCTTTCTCTGCCCTCTATAACTCTGACAAAGTAAGTAAACAAATCTTCAGAATAAGATAAATATTGAATTCCTGATTAAATGAATTCTTGCCTCCTTTCCCAAGTTCCTGTTTAACCATTATCAGCACATCTCCAGTGCTACCAATAATTCTCAGATTATTCAAAAATTTTAGCCATTTTCCATTACAAAATCATGTTAATTCAGCTATGCAAATCGGTTCAGCGAATGAATTACTAAATTTTACTCAAAGTTTCTCTTCGTTCATTATACTTGACTCAAGCTAGGAGACCTGCAGATGCCAAGAGTCCCTTATTAGTATTCTTAATTTTTAAGATTTACTTATTATTATTATTATTATTATTATTATTATTATTATTATTATTTTGGAAAGACAGATTGACAGAGAAAGAGAGAGAGACAGAGAGACAGATCTTCCATCCACTGGTTCACTGCCGAAGTGGCAACAATGGCCGGAGCTGAACTGATCCAAAGCCAAGAGCCAGGATCCAGGAGCTTCCTCCTGGTCTCCCTTGTGGTTGCAACTCTTTGAGTCATCCTGTACTGCAAACCCTTTTTGTACTTCAGTTTGACTTACATCTGTTACTTTAATTAGTTGTCCCAGGGTGACAAGACTGTGAAATATGCTAGACTTTTGAATTCTAATCAAGCATAAAACTAAATCCCAAACTTTATGGAACAGACTGTTTCTTGTGAAGTTATGCTAATTTTTTCCAGTATCATATACCTTTATTATTAATTAATATAATTTGAAAAAATGATATGCAAAGAAGATATAGATGCAAACACACACAGGAGGAGCAATTCAAAAGCTCAAAGTTAAAAAGACAAATTTATTGCAATGCAACAGATTTGAACCTTAAAACTCACGTGTAATTTTTTCATACATAACGTCTGTAAGTTTCTGAAGGATCTGTTTAATATAACTGCATGTCTCCTAGCCTCGTTAATTTCCACAAATCTTATCTTATCTCTGTTAATTCAGAAATTATTTATTATAATTGCTCCTAAAATACATGCTTACAAATACATTCTCCTAAATATCATCACTGTGTGCTTTCATGAAAAGTCACCCAAATCAAACCATAGCTACTCAACAAGACTAAAGTACATTTGAAAAAAAGACATTAGAATCTGATTGACAACATTTTATCTTTATTAAACCAAAGAAATAGATTTTCCATATTTCTCCATAGAACAAGGAAGTGACCACTAGCAGTACTGTCAAGACGTAGGATGAGACAAGAATAATTTTCATCTCTTCTGTGAATTCATAGATGATTCTTACAAATGTAAGGCAGTGTATTCTCACAGTCCTCACTAAAACAAACTCCTTTTGATTTATAAGAAAGGCAGACGCGTTTCTGAAACAAAGGAAGAAAAAATCTAGAATAGAAGAAATGGCACAATTTAGATAAAATCTAAAAGGCATGAAACTTTACAATCAAATCTTAGAGGGAAGAACTATAGAACATTTATTTTATATATAAATTTGAGAAACAGAATTTATATGAAATTTAATATGAGTTAATTTCTACTAGTAGTGATATATATATATATATATATACACACACATAAAATGTTAGTAATGTGAAATCAGTGATAGATAACAGCCTTGGCACCCTGCACCCATGTGGGAGACTCGGAAGAGGTTCCTGGCTCCTGGCTTCAGATCAGCTCAGTTCCGGCCATTGGGAAGTGAACCAGCAGATGAAAGATCGGCCTCTCTGTCTCTCCTGCTTTCTGTATATCTGCCTTTCCAATAAAAATAAATAATTTTTTTTTAAAAAAAATAGTATTTTTCAAAAGACTAAGTGAGAGGTTGGCATTGCAGCTTAGCGGTGCCACCTGCCACACCAGCATCCTAAATGCACTGTTCATGCTTGGGTGCTCCACTTCCAATCCAGCTCCCTGCTAAGGACCTGGGAAAACAGTGACAGATGGCTATGTGCTGAGGCCCCTGATACTCATGTGGGAGAGCAAAGTGAAGCTCCTGGCTCCTTGTGCATTTTGTCTGGCCCATCCCTGGCTGTTACAGCCATTTTGGGAGTGAACCAGTGGATGGAATCAATCCCTCTCTCTCTCTTTCTCCCTCTTTTTAACTTTTGAATCTTCTTTTAAAGATAATAATAATAACATTAAGTGAGTTAAAACAAGATATTTGGATAATCTTAATACAATATGACTATAAGATGAAATTTAGACAAAAGTAAGTGTAGAAGGGAAAAAATAAAAACATAAAACGATATGGGGAGAGGATGATCTGCCAGCCAAGGGAAGGGACCTCAGAAGAAACCAAGCTGCTTACAACATCACACCTCTCTTCTAGCCATCAGAGTGAAAAAATAAATCTCTATAGTGTATATACCCCAGTATGTTGTACTTGCCAAGCCATCTCTAGAAAACTGACACAGTTTGTGAGAAAAAAAAAAATTAAGAAAGGACACATGAAGGAGCTGAGAAATGTTATCTGCTTCTGGAATTCATAGCCCCACATCCAGGATGGGATTTCAGTTATTGTCTTTCTCCCTGGCTCCCCATGTATCTCTCCTGTTCTCCCCGCCCCCAGGGGCCCCTGATTCATTCCTTGGGACAAGTGCAATGATTAGCCAAGTACTACTGTGTCAGGCAGACACTCACGTATCGGAGGGGACAGCCGAATCATTTTCCCATAACCAGTGCTTATCCGTTGCCTTAGAGTAGACGCCAATCCAATGGAAAGAGTCCAAAGAGAAGAAATGCTGGTTGTAACCAAACATACACAGTTATCACAGCCACATTATTTTCATCAACCACATAGAAATAGCTGATTTGATTCTCCCTATCCCATGCACCCGGATGACACCCCATTGGTGTGACTTACCCATTCTTCCCTGTCTATCTTCATGAGAGTGGCATTGAAAGATAAACAGGCACGTTGGCTCTCTCTCCAAGTCAGCTTTTCCTTGGAGAAGTAGTAGCAACTACATTTGAACCACACCCAGTTCTTTGGACAAGGGTGGTACGGAGGTCCTGGACAAAGATTTTCTAACATGACAAAGGAGAGATTTGTAGAGTCTAAGTTTACTTATTACTTGTTTAAAACACACTTTGCAAGTATGTGTTATAACCAGTAGCAGCATTATAAAGGACAAAAAAATTAATTATAATGAGAATGAGTTAGAAATACCAACTTCTGCGTTTATTTGTCTTCCGAATTTATGCTACCTTTTAAGATCCCTCTGGAGTCTAACTACGGAGTAACCGAGCTGTGAGCTTCTCTACCTCTAAGCCATTCGGAGCTGGAATGTCTTTCCCATGTGTCACTGTTCAGTGGATTTTTGTTGAAATTTTACTCTGCCAATATAAACTCTCTATCTCCAAACTTTGCTCTCCACTTGAATTAATTCAATTCCTTTACGAACTTATTGGATCTTATGAGAATCCCAAAAAGAAACCTCTGTGTGTATGACTGTAGTTGCCAAATGTAAACCCCTGGTTAACATGAATATGAAATATTTACTGTCTGGACTCATATTTTCGTTAAGAGACGCCAAGTCATCTTACCCAGAAAGACTCCATGTTTGTGGAACTGTTACAAATTATAAATGCTTTTCCTGTGTAACTGAGTAGAAGTGAAGCTATAAAACTGTTACCTACCTTTTTGCTGGACCAGAAAAGATGTTCGTTTGGAAGTTGCTACAAAAAAATCAATATTACAATTAACCCTCCTTTAAATTTGTACATCAAAATGAAATATGAAAGACTATGTTTGGGGCAGAGGTATATATAATACATTAACCATAGATAATATATTATATATTTCTCTAAGGACAAACTAGAAGACAGGATTTCAGATGCTTCCACTGTGAAGAAATGTTAAATGTTTGAACAGATAAATGTATGTATTCTGATTCGTCATTGCACTTTATATATACATATATACACAAATGTAGCATATTTGTACATCATATAGTACCCCACGAATAAGAACAGTTTCTGTATGTCAAAAATTTTAATTAGAAATTTTAAAAGGTAATTTTTCTCTAAGAATAAATCATCAATGATAATAGGAAAAAAAAAAAGAGAAAATTCTTTTGGTGTGGTAAATTGCCCCAAGGCTTACATCTGCTCATTGTAGCCTATAAAATAAGGAACCCTCCCAAGGGAAAGACAGGAAGAATACTCTCCAGTTACTTACAGTTTGCAGTAAAAAAGGCCACTGTGATAACGGTGGCCATGAGGAAAAGGCACAGGATGCTGAGCACCACGGAGACGAGCCTCCACGGAAAAGGGACACGATCTGCTGAGAGAGCAAGATGGCAGGACAAGGAAAGGCCATGTCTAGGGAGCATCTTACAGTGAAGACTCCATTCAAACCCAAGGAAGGGTCAGGGGACATTTGCAGAAGTCTGGATAATGGGTACCAAATCAGAGATAGATGAAAGCAGGAAGTTCCTGGTGTTACGAAACACAGTGAGCTGGCTGTAGGTCACGATAACCCACAGTCCTGGAGGACTGACACCTGTGGACATGATGCATTACACTGGCCTTTGTCGGCACACACCTGAAAGACTTTTTGTTGCAACCTACTGCTGTAGGACCCAATCGTGCACTTACCAGTTACAGACTGTCAGCTTGTTTCAGTCACCTCTATCAAATCTGTTAAAATATTGAATCATTTCTCTGTTTGAAAAATGATAATTTTTTATAATCAGTGGAGCTGAAAAAAAAAGCTCTCAACAAAATTAAATTGAGCCTTAGGTTTTGTGATGTTGAATGCAGTTAAAGTCGTATGTAGGTCATGGCTTACTTCTAGAACTTGCTATAGTTGCTGCAGGATTGTCTTTCCCACACTGACATGCCGCCATAGGCTTTCTTGCCGTGCAACTGCTAACAAAACTAGACTGTCCTGAACTCCTAGATATAGAATTGTTTGCTTTATACCACGATGGCTGGGAAGCCCCCAACAACAGCACATATTGGGTTCCTGAGGGAAATTGGAGGGGTTTGTGCTGTAGAAACTAAAGTTATTGTCTAAAATGAGAAAACGTGGCTGCAGGGCCTTGGTGGATCCATGGGCACGGAGGGTGTCTGTGGCGGAGTCGGGCCTGATCTCCTCTGGCAGAGCAGAAACTCGCTGTGAAGGTGTTGAAGACATGAGCACAGAGTAAGAAAGCCAAATACGAAAATAAAATCTTTTTTGAGTCACTGAAATAACAACAGTGCCAACGACTAACACCAGATCTCTTCTACTCTCACCCAGAAATCCTGCCCACTCCTCTCAAGCAGTTGCACCCAGTAATTTCTCCACCTCTGATTCCTGACACTCTGTACAAAGGAAGTTAATTTCCCACTGCTTTCACTGCTCTAATCTTACTCTACTTCCAATTAGTCATTTATCTGATAGGCACAGCAACAAAGAAAGGAGAGAGAGAGCTCTTCCATCCACTGGCTCCCTCTGCAAACGGCCATGACATCCAGGTCCGTCCCAAGCTGAAGTCAGGGGCAGCTACATCCTGGAGTCCAAAGGGGCGACAGGGGCCCAGGCACGTGGGCAATCTTTCACTGCCTGTTCTTTCTCCAAAGTCTAAATCGACTGTCACTTGAGCAGGAAAATTTCTAACTATCCAAGTTACCATCTACGTCATATTTACTATTTGGCCTCCATCAACCTAAATCATATTTAACCTTTTACTTACAGATTTTCTCTATTTTACATCTTATTTATAAATATGTAGAGAGCAGAGTTCATGAATTTCGTAGATTATTCCAAAGACACACTTTACTCCAACCTTCTCTTTCCTTTCTTTCCTTTGTTTCTTTTCATTTTTTGTGACAGCATGCTACTTATATATTTTCTAACAAGACTCATAAAAGATTCTCTCCTATATGTTTGTGTCTCCCCAGTGTATAACCATCTGGAACATTCTCTATTTGTTTACTGAATACACTATGTTACCTTTGCCAGTGATATCTTTTGCTGCAACTTGATGCTTTTTAAAACGTGTGTGGTGTCTTAGCACGCCCTTGGTTAACGGCAGCTCCCTTGAATTAGATTTATTCTTGAGTTTGTTTTTTGCTGTGTGCTTCTGCTGGAAGTTCTGGTTTGGTGTCATGTAGATTATGATCTCCTCATTCATCCTTACAGAGGAACAATCTGTGTGGGACGCAGTGGGAGCATCAGTGCATCTTTCTACAGTTTGGAAAGGCATATAATGAAAAGGAGAAACACTGCATTGGAAACCAGATAAGTCTATTTCTCTAACTGGGAAGCCCCAGATATACATGACAACATACCAGCAAACGTTCAAAGGCAAAAGAAATAAAAATCACCCTAAAAGAGTTGGGAGCCATTTAACCAATTCTTGTAAGTGAATACTTCTCTAATACGGAATTGAAAAATCAGTCCTGGATCCACAATGGTTAATCTCTAAAATTCCTAAGCCTATAGCTTCCAGCACCATTGTAGTTCATGGCTTGAAACCGAGTCATCTGACACAGCCAATTTTCTGCTACAGTCAGCTGAGGCTCCTGGTTGCCTTGCACAAGTTATAGCTGAAGGATGGAATTCATATTTGCACTTCACAGTTTCCCTGAGTGACCTCGTAATTAATAATCTGGCTAATGGTCCTTTAGACTTTAGCTAAAAATCTCACCCCATTGGCACGCAGTTTGTTGAACCTATGACTAAAAATAATTAACCAAAATAAACTGAATACTAAAATATCTACAATTGAAAGTTTGAACAGCTTTTTGTTTGTATTTCTTTTCTTAATAGTGGCCCTCTAGTACAAAACTGATGAAACATGATCGGAACAAAGTCATCTGTTCGTCAGATTCCTGAATACCTACGTCCATATTCCTGAGAAACTGAAGAAGTGTCGCTAGGCACGCAACAAAGGTGGCAGGAATAAAAAGAGGCAGTAAAGCAGAATTTTAATATCCCTGAAGTCAAGGGAAAATTAACATTTGCTTTTATTTTTAAATGCCCAAAAAGAGAACGCGCCTCAAAGACAATGGTCTACTGGTTATATCCTTCAGGAGTTGCAGGAGGAGGGGATTTCAGAAGAACAAGAAATGGCTAAACATACCTGAAGGAAGGAGATGCCAGACTTGTGCTAAAAATGCAGTTCGTGGGAATCTGAGGAGGCACCTGCTGGGTCACTGCAAGTCAGAGAAGCTACCCACTCGCCCAGAGAAAGGACTTGCATCACTCACCAACAGGAAATTACTGTTTTGTGCTTGGTTTTAGCACCCACAAGCTGGTGAGAGCACTACTAGGAACTCAGGTGAGAAAAGGAAAAATATCAACGAGTGTGTGTCACCGTAAATCGTTGCTCGCCAAAAAGAAAACACTTGTGAGAACAAATCTTCCAGTGAGTGTATTTTCACTAACACTTCGTCATATTTGCCTCTCTGGAGCTAGAATTGAATCAGATTACATCGTAATATCAAATAGGTATACATACATCCAGTGTGGGAACAAAGAAACCTTACGGATTTTGTACGTGAAAATTCTCTTCGAGTTGTGCTTTTCATCGCTTTCATTCTTTGATTCATTTTTTCCCAAACATTAACGTATGAGATATTTACACCTCAAGTGTGCCAATTATAAGTGATTAGCATGTAATTGTCATAAATATGTGAAATGGATGATATTTTTTTTAATTATGATCCCATCAACAGGAGAATACCTGGCACATAGTACATGCTGAATCAATATCTTGATGTATTGAATTCATTTCACACACATACGTATTTAGTAACATTATAACTGATGGAGGGAGGGCACAGGGAGCATTGAAACTCCATCATAAAAAGCTTATCTTTAAGGGAATCTTAGGGAAGTCCTACCTGCTGGGTCTGAGTTAGAAAGGATAAATTGAATTAACTTATTCAAAGAGGGTGAGCAGGTGGATCTGATATAGCCAGAGGAATGAGAGAACAAGTGGGTGCTCTTGGTGTGGTGGAGAAGGCATGGCATGCGTTCAACAGGGAAAGCAAGCTGATGAGTGAATGTGAAAAATCATCTCAACAATTAGGCTTTTATTTCAAGCGTATGGAAAGTTAAGGTTTGTGTGTGTTGGTATAGAAAAGCATGCACACATTCTTATATTTCTGAAATATCTACTCTGGTTTCACTTCAGAAAATACATTGGAAGAGCCGAGAGCAGGCATGCGCACTGTGGCCCAGCGTGTGAAGCATCTCTCAGGACACCCACATCCCATATCGGTTTCATCCTAGCTGCTCCAGGCTTCTGATCCGGCTCCCTGCTAACGTACCAGAGGAGCCGTGGACACTGGTCCAAGTCCAGAAGACCTGAATAGAGCTCCAAGCTTTGCTCTGTCCCAGTTGGCCACAATAGCTGGAGCCCAGCCAATCCGAAGCTGGGAGCCATGAGCTTCTCCCGGATCTCCCAAGTGGGTGCAGGGACTCAAGCACATGGGCCATCCCCCTTTTCAGGCACATGAGCAATGAGAGGGATGGAAAGTGGAGGAGCCAGGATTCTAACCTGCACCTGTATGGGAGCCAGCACCGCAAGCGGAGGATTAGCCTGATATACCACAGCAACAGCTCTGGCCCTTTGAACCATCACCTGCTGCCTCCCAGAACAACACATTAACGGGGAACTACAATCAACAGCAGAGCTGGAACTCCAACCGGGCTCTCCACTAGGTGTGTTTTAATCACAGTGCTGGTACCTGCTTCATCGATGCATCGTGTTGACGCACATGTAATTTCTTCCATTTGTAGACTTGTGAACAACGATATGAGAAGGCACGCGCATGGTCCAGAGGAAGCTGGGGAAAAGACTCAACCCTGGGAAGACGCAAGCAAGCCTCTCCAGGAGCCAGCACTTCTAGCAAAAACACGAAAGGTAGCCAACGTGCTGGTGGGGATGTGAAGAAAGGCAAATTCTGCAGCACTGTTGGTGGGAATACAAGCTAGTATAATCACTGTGCTTTTCTGGAGTTTGCTCCGAAAGCTGACGATATAATTACTACATGATCTAATAATCTCACTTGTACGTAAAGACCAAAAGAAATTGACATAAGCATGTTGAAGAGGTGTCACCAAACACATGCCCAGCCGTTCTTTGTATTTCAGTAAACTATTTATTATCCGCCAGATGAACTTTTGGCTGTTTTGGAAGGGATTGAAAATAGCTTCTCTCAAAACCAGTGGTTAATGTGAGTAAAGATGACTGTTATTGTATTTATGAGTGATTTTGCTGCTGCTATCATGAAAATAAAATTGTAAGTTTATACATTAAAGGAATTCAGCACAGGACTGACAATTCAGCTGTGGCTGCAAATTTAAAAAAAAAAGCAGATTTAAATGAAAAGCTGGACACCTTCCAACACCTTCCCTGCGAACTTTTTGAACTCAAGTGTGGTCACAAGATGCAGCGAAAACATTAGAGCGAGCGCATAAGGCAGCTCCTTGCTTCAGGAGAGGATGGAAACATGCGATAACCAATGAGGAAGATGAACTCTCCAAGTGCTGTTAGGATTCCACGGTGATTCTTTACAGCCACTTCAGGTGCCATTTTACTGATAACAAATCAGCTGAGAGAGGAAAGTGGCCCTTCCAGCCAGTAATGAAGGCTGCAAAGAGCTGTTAAATGAAGCAGGCCAGGAGAGCCTCGTGGTGCCTGCATCCCACATCAGAGTGCCAGCTTGGCGTCTTTGCCACTCTACCCTTTGAACCAGCTTCCAGCTAATGCGCCTGTGACTACCCATGATGGCCCAAGTGGGAGGTCCCAGGTGGATATCCTGGCTCCTGGTTTTTGGCCTGGCCCTGGCTGTGTCGGGCATTTGGAGTATGAGTCAGCAGATGGGAGAATTCTCTGTATGTGTGTATCTCTCCCTCTGTGTCACACTGCCATTTAAATCAATATATAAATGACAAATGACGGGGTGCAGGGTTTAAAAAAAAAATGAGTGTGTGTGGCCTGCCACCTAGTGGCCAGGCATAATAGCTACACTTATTTTGGAAATTTTGAGCCTTCCTACCAGAAGAGTGATTAAAGTATAAAGCCAAGAGACAAGCCAGCATCTTTGCAGAAAAGACAAGCCACAAGATCAGAAGGTGAAAACATTTATACAGTATTTTATGCCTTGTTGTTACAGCTGATTTGAACCCTGGAACTTCTATCCACAGTAAAGTATGAAACAAATAGACAAATTTTTAGAAAACAAAAAATTTTGTTGTTGTTGAAAAGACCGAACAGAAATGGAAGGCGCAGAGGCAACGCTGTCCGGAAAGCATCCCCGAGAGGTTTCTTCCGAAGGAAGGGAGTAATCTGGGGCTGTTCTGTTCCTTAGAGTTTGTCCCAGGTTATTCAGGAGAAGCGATTCTTGTGCGGAGAGCTCACCCCGCCGCCTCCTCTGCCCTCGCTCCCCTGGACTTCCTACAGAACCCAGGGCAAGTTCCAAGCCGGGCCGGGGCTGTTTGTCCTCAGTGCAGGGGGACAGCGGTCATGGCCAGCTCCAGCCTCCCGGCCTTGGGCGTGAGCCTGGCACCAGAGCCTGCCCTTTCTCCCGCCTAACTGATGGGATCTATTTCATTATCACACTTCCTCCTAACCCAGACTGGTTTCCTAGCTCCACTAAGAAAATGTTTCATGTTATAGAAGGGGCTCTCTCTCTCTCTCTGTCTTTTTTTTTTATGTGTGCTTGTGTTTTGTTTTTGTTTTTGTTTTGTGTGCTTTGTTTTTAAGGTTTTATTTATTTTTATTGGAAAGTCAGATCGACAGAGAGGAGGAGAGGCAGAGAGGAAGATCTTCCATCCAATGGTTCACTCCCCAGTGTGGCTGCAATGACCGGAGCTGAGCCAATCTGAAGCCAGGAACCAGGAGCCTCTTCCAGGCCTCCCACGCAGATGCAGGGTCCCAAGGCTTTGGGCTGTCCTTGACTGCCTTCCCAGGCCACAAGCAGGGAGTCGGATGGGAAGCGGGGCCACCGGGATTATAACTGGCGCCCGTATCAGATTCTAGCATTTCAAGGCGAGGACTTGAGCCACTGAGCTATCGTGCTGGGCCCTGTGCCTGCTGACCCCTCTGTGAAACGTCCTGCTGCAGAGGAGAGCTAGGCGGGCACTAGCCCTGGACCCAAGCAGAGGGCAGCGGTGTTTCAAGTTTCAAGTTGTGTCAAGTGCTGTCCATATGGGATTCTGGTGTCACTGGCCATGGCTTCACAGGCAATACTCCAACGCTGGCCATCCCCTAGCACCTGTCATGTAAAGATGCTGTGAGGATGAGGGTCCCAGCTAGGGTCGGGGAGACCCCCAGCTAGACTTAGTCCACATTCTTGTCTTCCCTCTTGTAATAATACCAACCAAGGAAGGTTGGCACAGTGGCATCAGATTCAACTCCAGCCTGCAGTGCCAGTATGCCATATAGATGCCGGTTCAAGTTCCAGCTGCCCCATTTCCAGTCCAGCTCCCTGCTAATGAGATGGCCCAAGTCCTCAAGCCGCTGTGCCCATATGGCAAACTAGGCAGGAACTCTGGGTTCCTGGCTTCAGACCAGCCCTACTCCAACCATCGCACCCATGTGGGGAGTGAACCCATGGATAGAAGACCTGTCTCTTTCTCTTGGTGAATCTTTCAAATAAAAATAAATACATTGTAAAAATGTAGTGCACACTCGGGCCTGACTGCAGAAAACCTGGAGAGAAAATTGCCCCAACCAGGGGGCATCCTTTTAAAGAGCACAGGTGGTACTCAGGGCAGGGCCTGACTACTGAGAGGACAGGACTTGGGTGGGCGGGGACTTGGGTGGGCGGGGCTGCAGCGCACCTGGTGATCCTCAGGAAGGTGATGAAGTGGCTTGCTCAGTCTTCAGCCATGCTCAGTGGGCATGCATCCGACCTGGCTTGGGTGTTGCCCGTATTTAGCTCATTCCTCCTTCCTTCCTCTGAGCTTTGCCCACATCAGGCGCAAGCACGAGTGCCCACTGGGGCAGAGATTCGAGAAATAACTGAAGCCCAGAGGCCAAGAACTGTCACCTCCTTCGCAAGGCCCCACGGGAGACATGACT